AAGAAGCCAATAGAAAGGTTTTGCAACCTTACTTCCAGATCGATGAATGGGTAATTTCCGAACGGTTTTACCTAGCCGAACTTGGTCCGAAAGACAAGTCCTGCTTGGACGACCTTGGCTTATCAGCCAGAACCCCTGATCAATTGGAAAACTGGCGCGGTAACCCTCAAAAGTACCGCAGATTCCCGAAAGAAGCAGAAAGAAATAGATTCTGATCGGAAGAAGAATGGCAAGACGCCCTCTTCCTGAAAGAAGAAAAGAAGGTAGCATTGAAGAGAAAACGATCGGTATCCCCGACCACTCCCCACACCTCCTCTTCGGGCTCTGTACCACTAGCTCGAACGACACAGAACGCACCGGTCCACGAAGAACCGCAGAACGGAACCCCCGTGAACCTTAAACCGCACCACAGCCCGCGAAAACTGTGACGAAGAAAGACTCGCTGCCTAGAATTGATCTCGCAGCAAAGAGATATGAACAGAAGAGACCGGCCACTGACCCGGAGACAACTCAGAAGAAGACTTCCAGACCAGCACTGATATCTGACCACATTTATCCCGAACCGCCACGAACGAAGAAGATTGTACCGGCTGTTCAGCCGATGAAGATTGAAGAAGATCCCGCACCTGCCCGATATGAATTCTCGGCAGAGCCCGCACAAGTCCTTGGGAAGGGACGTGCGATAATGAACGAAGAACCGCCTGTATCCAAGGCACCCAGACTGGCCCCTGAACCAGAGAAAACTCAGAGATTCGAATTTTCTGGAGAACCAATATCCGTTCTCAGAAAAGGACGAGCAGTCCGAATCGACGAACCTCCCACTGCCAAGAAACTCAGATTCTACGAAAGCCCTGAGTCCGCAATGGAAGAAGACCCGAACCAGCGTATTTAACCGCTGATGAACCGCTGAATTCCCTCAACCTCTCCTTGACACCTGCACATAATTCTGAAGAAGCAATGACGCTGTCTTCTGACACCGAACTCCTCCTGTGTTACAAGAAGCCCAGGATATTTTCATTGAACGAATCGCTTTGATCCATGAAGCATATCGTCAAAATGAAATAGAAAAAGAAGCACAAGACGCCGGGCCCAGTTTTGTCCTATTTATCGACATGGACAACTCCGAGGATGACGAGGATGAAGACAAAAATGCACCCTCTTCGCATGATCTGCGAATGGTAGATTCAGAAGGAAACGACTTCGAAGACGATGGCCCGCTCCCTGGCCTCGACTTCTGATTGGATATGATTAGTCGGTGACTAATGGCTTAGTAAGGGGGTGAAATCCTCCATATACTTATTTTTCCACGCCCACTCCACCCTGAACACTGATCACCGATATCCCAAACTCGACCAACTTCTAAAGGTCCGGAACGACCTAAAACTAGACAGGTCCGTAATGACCCTAAACTAGATATAGTCCGGAAAGACTCTAAACTATGATTGTCCGAAATGACTTGAAACTAGACGATGAACAAGGACGAACCCCGGAAAACTCCTGCAAGCTTCGGGACCCCTCACATCACTGCACTTCGACCACCTGAGTAGACCATATATAAACAAAGGGTAATAGAAGACGATCTCCCTGCTGGACGACCCCAAGAAACTCCTGCAAGCCTTGACACCCACGCTCGGACCCCCTACCTCCGGAACGAGGCTAAACTATCACGAGACGAACTCCACGGAAACTCCTGCAAGCCCATGGAACCCTCTAGAACCCATCATGGCAATGACGACCACCCTCTGATGATGACCTGATCTTTCAACAAAGATAAAGGATGATAGTACCTATCACGGCACTCCCTCTGATAGCGAAGAAGAATCTCGAACACGAGTTAGCCTCATGGCTAGATAAAGACGATAAGAGATAACGATAAAGATAAGTTTAGATTGAATCGGAGCTTGGATTGATCTGGAAGAAGGTTATAAACCCTCTCGATCCCTGAACATCTCTCCCAACGAACCTCCATCACCATCATGACAAACTCCATCGACAACGACTCTATCAAAATGACACTGAAGGACTCTGACTATGGAACAGTCCTCAGAATGACGGAAAACAGCGCGTTCAATGAAGCTGCTATCCTGACCCCGCGTACTCCCAAGCGATCGACGAAATCCTTGGTGATCAAGACGCCAGAACTGCAGCGTGTACATCCCTCACCGTCTGCATTATACGAACCACGAAGCTGCTGGAAGATGTAGCCAATCGTGTTGACCTTGATGAAGTAACTCGGAAACTTGCTATACTTCATCTGCAACGGCGGATCAGAAACTTCGCACTTCACTTACTCCCCTCGACTTCTCCGATATCACCGACCTAGCGATAAAGAAAGTTGAAGTGAAGCCACTTGTAGAAGAACCCGCCCGGTACCCACTGAGAAGAAGGTGGCTACCATAAATCAAACCCGCACCACGCTCTGTAAGCGCTGTGGAGGATACGGACATCAGTTCAGAAAATGTCCAGATTATGTTTGTTGCATCTGTGATGAACTTGGACCTGACCATCTGTCTGTCCACTGCCCACAACTCGAAGGACGCATTGTGCTCCAAGAGTTTAGTGACGAAGAGAAGTTCTTTGAAGCTCTCTTAGATTGGGAGAATAACCACAAGGCACTGCGGATCTAGAACTTTGGCATCCCACCGAACTTTCCCCTGTCCCTGAACCTCCCTCAGTACCTTCCGTCTCCACGTCAGCAATTCCCGCAACACCTACTGCTACGATGGAAGAAGATGTTTGAAAAAACAAAGTCGGTGACTTTGTGCGTAGTAATGGGGTAATGTTACAGTCACTACGAGAGCCCCCAGCTACTCGACCAGCCCTCTGCCACCCTGCACGGCAACAGCACGATAACCGGGCCTTTAGGCCTTGATGATAGATGATGAATAGAAGAGAAGTCCGGAAGATGCCGGATTAGGTAAGCGATCTGGATCGCTTACATGATATGACGACATAGGTCTAGAAGACCTATGTATGTTATCAAGATAGAAGGCAAGCCTCGTGTTGCCTCATGTACTGATAGAAGCCTGCCTCATGCATGGTATCTCTGACTCGATAGATAAGCAGATTAGAACCCAGCTTCAAGCTGAGCTTAGATACGATAGAGTAGCCTTATATAAGGTCGACGATTAAAGTAGATGTTCCTTACTTTAATCCTACTGGGTTTTGCCTCGAAACCTTTGTCTTGCTAAAGCTACCTGCTTGACATCAGATCCGCACCTTCAGAAGGACTTGAGACCCCTTCTGCCTGTAACCGCTATCATCGCTCACCTCCGCAAGCGTACGCAACTCCTACTCTTCTGTAGGAGCCGACCTTGGACTCTCAGCACGAGGTATCACTGTCGTGATCGTCGCTGTTAGATCATCCCAGTTCGCACGCGACTTACCGTCGTAACACATATATCTTCCTGCCCTCATGTGTAATGTCATAAGTGCTATTATGTATATGTCAAAGTACTAACAAACAAATTATAATTGCCAAATGCCAAATCTCGAGTACCAAGGCCCGAGTACCGAACCCTGAATACCGAAGCCCGAACGCCGGTCACCGAGTACCAAGGCCCGAGTACCGAACACCGAGTACCGAGCCCCGAGCCCCAAGTTCCTAGGCCCGAGTTCCGAGCCCCGAGTACCAAGCACCGACTACCGAGCCCCGACTGCCGAGCCCCAACTACCGAGCCCCAAGTACCGAGCCCCAAGTACCGAGCCCCAAGTACCGAGCCCCAAGTACCGAGCACAGAAAACCTGGCAGCGAGTACTGGGTAGTAGAATATACAAGTACCAAGGACTACCTACTGAGTAGTACTGCAATGTGTCTACTATCAGACATTGATCAATATTTACATGTTACTTGAGTCCTCAAAGGCCTCAATGAGGGTATCCAATACCTTCAGCATTTCGGAGGTTGACTCCCTTACCCTTTGCATCCTCCGGAGGTCCGCATCTGCTTTCCACAGCTTGTCGCATGTTTCAGCCCATGCCATCCTGAATGGTCTGTCAGCCTCAAGAATTTGGGCTACTGTAGGGGCAGGAAGATTTCCATGACGCTGTTCATAATCTCCCAGGCAATCTACAATTGATTGAACTTGCAGGATATTAGCAGAGATAAATAATCAAATGTTGTATACTTACTTTCAGCTTGATCATAAGATCCGATTGGCATGAACTCTCGAACCATGGCACGCAGGGCTTCATTGTTGAGTTCCGGCTCGGGCGATTGACGTTCGGGAGCTTCTGACATAGCTTAGAAGATAGCATGAGTAAAGCACATGAAATGATATGAATATACCTACAAGGTATGGGTGCACCTGGTACACCCGGAGTGGCCGGATCGGGCTCCGGAGTTGATTCATTCACTGGGGAAATGCCATGAAAGGTGACCATGGGATTGAAAGGGTAATCTCACCAGCCATAGGAAAATCGGGTATAACCGGAGCATCATCAGACGAAATCAAGGTATCCTCCGGACCAAGATACAAGTCCGGGTCATCGTACAGGGCCAGTCCATCCGCCAGAGCCGGAGATGATGGATCTGGAGATATGTGATGAATTTGCACATGTAAAATATGTAAATTTGAATTGGAAAACATACCGGGAATTACATTCAACACATCTAAACCACCGGACGATCCAGAATCAGAGTCTAACTCATCATCCGGCCCAAGGTATATATCATCTAATGGATCTGAACCATGTCAGATCAATTGACTGAAATCAGAAAAAACAAAACATACCAAGGGACATCCGGGACTGGGAGGACTCATCCACATCCATTGAAGTGAATTCAGTGACCGGAGGGTCATGAAATCTGACCCCAGGTTGAGAGCTCATGATATCTGATGAGCTGATGCACTGATGAACTGATTGATAACTGATAACGTCGAAGTTCAACACATGGCCGGCGATTGCCGAAAGTTGAATGATGACCAAACAAACACAAACAATCAATGAATTTTCAACATCGTCCTTCAATTGTATTGTTTCTTTGAAACTTCATTCTATTGATAACAGATTTCACCCTGCTTTCAACATTTTCACATCTGTCAACTCCATCCAAATGTCTACTCAAGTTCAATCTTCATTGGCCAACCTCAAGGCATCCACTGCTCAACTTGTGGGCATCATTGCCGGCGCCCGGCACATCCTGGCCGGCTCTGTGGACGTCCACCTTGTTCTAACAAAGCAGGTCACCACTCTTTTGGTATGTTGAACTTATTAAATTAGTGTAACATTAATGTTTGTAATGTCCGGGTAGGCTGACATCATCCGGGCCCATGAGAAAGGGGAGTACATCCCTGGAATTGTGGTGTCCTGCTCTAAGGAGCTGATGAGGGTGCGTTCCATGACTCCCCGGGCTTTGCCCAACTGGCACAGCATTGGCCACGATGACCCCCGGGTGGCTAGACACGCCTGGCGCAAGCAAGTCCGTGCCTGGGAGGCGTTGGGTGATAATTCCTGTGATCTCCCTGTTGTCCCTAACGTTTCCACTGGCCCACTCACTGTCAACCTTCCGTCTCCACCTGTCCCTTCACCTGCACTTGTCCCTTCCCCCACCCCCGTCATTCCCTCACCTCCGGTCGTCGCCGGACCTTCCGGCAAGATGACCCCCGAGGTCCGGCACAAAGGAAAAGGTAAGGCCACCTCCGTCGACCTGTCGCCGGAAGTTGGGGGGAGCAACAAGAGGAAGTCTCCAATGATTTCGGGACACTCCTCCCAACCTCCAAAGTCGGCGCTGAAGGCTCGCAAGCGTGTCAAGTCAACTCAACTCCCCAAGTCGAAGCCGTTTGTGGAGTCGGAAGATGATGAGGACCCAATTGTTCAGGTATGTGTTCTGGCTGATTTCTGACATGCTCTCAATTTGTTGCAGCCGATTTCGCGTGGAGTGCCGGAGGTCGTCCTTCCCCAGCGCACCATTGTGGTAAGGAAGCCCCAGTCGCCTCGGTCACCCGGTTCCCCCAAGAAGCAATCATTTGGGCCTGCTTCGGTAAGTTTGCATTTTTGTTTGGACTTTAAATATATGCTCATGTGTCCACAGCTGACTGCCGGCAGTCGTCCGGAGGTTACGGTGAGTCGTTTGGACATGTCCGGACCTCCCATGTATAATTCCCACTCATTCCCATTACATTAGAAATCTCCCATCAGTCGTCCGGAGGCTCGGGTAAGTCCTAGAAGTTTTCCAGAAACTCATGTGTATTAACAATCTGTCAGGCAACCTCCGGCAGGCGTCCGGAAGTTGAGGAGGAGTCCAATGATACTTCCAGTGCTTCGGATGGTGACCCGCCGGCCACTACCACATTTGATATCACCATTCCCGGCCCAGTGAGTACTCAAATATATTCCCTCTAGTCCATCTACTAACGGATACTACAGAACAACCCCTGCCATTATTGTGTCAAGGAAAATTGGCCCTGTGCGACTTGATTGGACAAGAGGTCCAGCCTCCCCTGCTTGTCTTGCATCTGCTGCTCCACCAAGAAGATCAAATGCAACCCTGCATCTCTGGGATCCCCACCCAAACGGACCCGAGGGAAGTCTACCACCGGCCGGATGCGTTCCAAGACACCTGCCCCTGCTCCATCCAATGCTCCATCTCCCTCCCGGTCAAGGGCCCGAACTCGTAGTCAATCTCGTGGCCCTTCCCGAACTCCGGCCATCCCTGCTGCAACCACACCCCAGGTGCAGTCACGTGGTCGCAGCAAGACCATCACTACCAAGAAGACACCTGCACCTGCACCTGCACCTGCACCTGCACCTGTTCCTGCACCTGTCCCTGCACCTGTCCCTGCACCTGTGCCAGCTGGTAAGTCACCCATACTTTTGATGACCGGCTGACCTAATTTTTTACTTAGCAGTCAGGTCTTCCAGCGTCGCAGTGCCTCGTGCAGCACTCGATGTTCCCATGCCGGATCTCCATTCCATGGCAATTGGTCACCAGTTACCAGTATGAGTCTGAGTGCTCAGTAGTTTTCTATGATATTTCCTCTCCTCTGAGCCTTGAGCCTGGTCCAGAAACCCTTTAGGGTCGAATAGCAGCTAGGTTCTGCAAGACCCAACATTGTTCAGACTCCCATCTGAATTGTTGTACCTTCAACTGAGACCAACGCGTAGGGGGTTTCTTGTGTTTCTAGGCTCTCCAAGCTCTCCATCATCCCCAAATTCGCCTATTACCCAACCACAGTCATTCCTTACCAGCTTCTCCCATAATCCCCAGTTTTCAGCATCTTGTCCTCTCCCCAGCGCACTTGATAGGGGTTTTCCCACGCGTTTTTCAAGCGGATCTCTCGCAAACTTAGGTCGTATTCCCCACGTCCGTCCGGTCATTTTGAGCCCTGGTTCAGTCAATTTGGAGCGTAGTTGTGGAGATATTGAGTTTTTTGTGTTTTTGAGAAGTTGAGGGGAGATAAGGGTTTTCTGGGTGCTCAAAGGCCTGTCTCATCTAGCTCTTTTGGCCAGTTACCATCCCTCAGTGGCTCTGTCCATTGCCCCAATCCGCTTTTTGATAGGACCAGCCCTTGTTGCCCTGCACATACCCCTTCCCTCCTCCTCCCTCTTGCACCTCCGCACTTTTTCGCACTTCACCAGCCCATTTCGCATCAGAACCCATCGACCCTATATCCGTTTTGAAGCCCTCGTTCATGGCTTTCATTCGCGCATATCCGCGCCTCGCGCGCTCAGCCGTTTCGCTCGCTATTCGCATTTGGCGCGTTCCCCCCTATTTTTCGCCCCATTTTTGCGCCTTCCTTATATCTCGTCGCCCTGTGATCGCGCGCCCATCGCCTTAGGCGCGTTCTGACCGCATTTTTCCGCGCTTTCCATCCATCCGCTCCGCTTCCCGATACGTCCGCGCATTTCCTCCGCAATCCGCATTTCTCCCATTTTCCGCCCTTTTCCACCATTTCCCTCGTTCTTCTCACTCAGTTCTCCACCAAACCTAGTCAACCCTATACTCATTTCGAAGCCCTCGTTCGCCTCTTTCTATCCGTCTACTCCCCATCGTCATCCATGCAACCATCATCGCGTTTTTTTCACTTTAGCATCGCTGCTCCTCCAGTACTAAAAGCAAAGTCTGGGGATTATCATTTTATTGCATTGCCTGACCCTCACTCACTGGCGCAGTTTACCTGGCATACGCGTCAAGGAGACAAAAGGTGTTTGAGGACCCCCAGGTTAGTTTTCTTAAGTTTAGCTTAGCTTTGGTTTGCATAGGTAGATGACTGGGGACAGTCATGATTCAAAGTTCCCATGAGATGTAGGGATTCATTTCTGGTTGGGCTTGTAGAGACTGTTTTACCTTACCTTATGTTGGCACTTTTGTAGCTTACATAAGCAATCAATCTTTTCACCAGTTACCAGTATGAGTCTGAGTGCTCAGTAGTTTTCTATGATATTTCCTCTCCTCTGAGCCTTGAGCCTGGTCCAGAAACCCTCGGGATGGTGCAGCTCGCATCGCTATTCTTGAGGCTCGGGTGCAGGAGCAGGACGCTAAGATTGATACCCTGCAACGCCTCCATGAGAGCCTCTGGCGCACAGTGGTTGACCGGCACCCTTCATTTTCACTTCCGGACACACCGGCCGATGGAATAATGTTGCTTGGTCAAGGAGGTCCCCCCCGTCCATGTCACCCCTCCCCTCCACACTTTCCAACCTCATTGATTTGGACTTTTCAGTCATGCAACCTACACCCTTGACGCCTGAGCATGAATCTGCTGTGGTAGGTCCCATGGTTGAGTCCACCCAAGTTCAGCCTGAGAGTCCACAATCCTCTGCCGAAATTGATCTCCCTGATGAACCAGGCAACCTCCTGCCAGAATCCCCCGGCAATATTGTGGTCCCTAATGAACCAGGTAACCTCCTGCCAGAATATGATTCTTCTGATGAGGAGATGGATGTTGAGGGAAAGGTTGATCTTCCTGGTGAGGAGGTTGACATGGCTACATAATTGCTCAGTGATAGATGTACATAAATGTTTTTCCATGCATGTTACCTATGCCACAATTGAATCATTCAATGATCACTCCCGATATCCAGAACTCGAAACTGCAGATTGAGGTAGATATCACCCAAAACCCGAACACCCGAATGTCAAATTATTAGTGCCGAACCCCAAGTCCCGGGTGCCGGGTACCGAGTCCCGACACCCGGAACTCAGGATTTGACATTTTAGACGAACGACATCTTCCAGACATGTTTAAATCAATCTATGTATATCTGTAAACATTTTACTAACCCCCAAACCCCAAACCGAGATGTACCAACCCCCGAACCCCGAAACACGAGAGTGCCGGGTCTCGGGTCTCGGGTGTCCGGAACTCGGAACTTGGGAGAATTTGGGGAGATCAATACAATTTAATTTACAATCGAGTTGATTGACAACACATTGACTTACCCATGTTTTGCAATATATTTTTGTTTAGACATACCGAGTTCCGAGTTCCGGACACCGGAGACCCGAGACCCGAGACTGCCGGGTCTCGGGTGTCCAGAACTCGGAACTGGGGAAAATTTGGGGAGATCAATACAATTTGATTCACAATCAAGTTGATTGACAACACATTGAATTAACTACGTTTGCAATATATATATTTTTTAGACATACCGAGTTCCGAGTTCCGGACACCCGAGACTGCCGGGTCTCGGGTCTCGGGTGTCCGGAACTTGGAATTCGGTATGTCTAAAAAAAAATATATTGCAAACATAGTTAATTCAATGTGTTGTCAATCAACTTGATTGTGAATCAAATTGTATTGATCTCCCCAAATTTTCCCCAGTTCCGAGTTCCGGACACCCGAGACCCGGCAGTCTCGGGTCTCGGGTCTCCGGTGTCCGGAACTCGGAACTCGGTATGTCTAAACAAAAATATATTGCAAACATAGTTAATTCAATGTGTTGTCAATCAACTTGATTGTGAATCAAATTGTATTGATCTCCCCAAATTTTCCCCAGTTCCGAGTTCCGGACACCCGAGACCCGGCAGTCTCGGGTCTCGGGTCTCCGGTGTCCGGAACTCGGAACTCGGTATGTCTACACAAAAATATATTGCAAAACATGGGTAAGTCAATGTGTTGTCAATCAACTCGATTGTAAATTAAATTGTATTGATCTCCCCAAATTCTCCCAAGTTCCGAGTTCCGGACACCCGAGACCCGAGACCCGGCACTCTTGGGTTTCAGGGTTCGGGGGTTGGTACATCTCGGTTTGGGGTTTGGCACTGAAAATTTGACATATATATTTTTGTGAGTGTTGTGCTTCTGGTGTCCATGCTTAGAAATAGGATTTGTTGCACACCAGGGTTCAGGTGTGGGGTTTTTCCACTTCAGTCCTGGATTATTGGTCAATGCCACACATGATAGATTCATGTTTTTGTGCTTAGGGGTTTAGATTTGGTGGTTGATGGTAGGTATATGCACTGATAGTGTACATGTATCCTATGTGTTTGATTCGCTGGTGGCTACATCAGCTGTATGTCTTGATGGGACATATCTAGGCTCACCCATATATGTAATACACCCCCGTCGGCCCGCCTGTCTATGTATTATCCCCCACGTCGGCCGACCCGTCTATGTGATACATCCTATGTTGGCCCACCCGTCTATATAATACATCCTGCATCGGCCCACCCGTCTATATAATTATACCCCACCTCGGCCCACCTGTCTATGTAATAAATATTTTATAGCACCCTCGGCCCACCGGTCTATTTGATATCTCTTTCGTCGGCCCACCCGTATATGTAATACATTCCACGTCGGCCCACCTGTATATGTAATACACCCTACGTCAGCCCACCCGTCTATGTAATATTCCCCTACCTCGGCCCACCCATATATGTAATACACCCACGTCGGCCCGCCCGTCTATATAACAATATTTGCCTTACATCTCTCTTCAGCCCAGCTGTCTATAATATCCTACTCTACATATTACCCAGATGGGCCCACCCATCTCCATGAATGATCATATTCCCCCGGCCCATCCGTCAACATTAAGGATATATATATCATTGGCATACATGGGCCCACCCGTCTCCATCGGAAATAATATGAGTCCCGGCCCATCCGTCATCATCGAGAATATACACAACATGGGCCCATGATCAGCTGGCCTGTCTCATACGGGATATTATGGAGGTCGGGTGGCCCGTATAATACGGAATTTGTCACTGAAGGGGCTCCAAGTGTCTCAACGTAGCGAATGCGGATACGGTCTTCGGCTGGTGGCTGCTTCAGATCATCAAGGTATTTTTGCTCTTCGTCGAGAAAACGAACGAAATCATCATCGGTTAGTCGAAGCTCGTGTTTGATAGCTGTGAGTTCAGTGGTGAGATTGTGAACTGCCTTCAGCGCTTCTCGATAGTGGTTCCATAAGAAATTACCTATTGGAACGCTAATCAGTACTGTGAACTAAGGCTAAAGTGGAATATACAAACTAAGGCTAGCGTACTTGTCTTGATCCCAAAATGAGAAGTGTTCCTCGATAGATTGATGTCGATGGAAGGAACTGGCATGTCTAGTACTACGAGCAAGCTCATTGGAAGCAGAGAAAACGTGTTCACAACCTTTGCCTTCAGTGTGTCCCGTTCCAGGAATATACATTGGATGCCAACGTAACTGGCATTTGCGGTTGTGTGCGTGGCCATGAAAGGACCCGACCATCATCCGAAAACCAAGATCGTGCGCTCGAGAGCCGAAGGAACTATTGCTCAGGGTCTTTGAGAAGGCGCATCCGATATCATAAGCACAGCCCCCGTTCTTTCCATATACAGTGAGGAGCTTGTCAATGAGCGCCAGCGGATATTTAGCTCTGTTGGAATGATCAACAAACGTCAAACCATGACAAAAATAGACTAACAGCTCGCCACTCTGAACCATGTCGCAAGCTAGAAGTATGAAGCGGTGGCGACAAGCAGCGATAAAGATCCCAGACTCATGAAACACGGAAAACATTTTTTTACGAGTCTCAGGGCCAGCATTGCGCCATCGATCAACACAAGTGAGCACATTAGAAGGGTTAGTGCTAGCGTCAACTGGCTCTTCCTCCCAGTTATCATCATGGGAGTTGATCTGCACAATGCGATCAAAAATTGCTCAAATTAAGTTAGTCGACTTACATCGCACGATTTCGCTTCGTGTTTATACTTGTCAACAGTTTCACGATCAATCCAGTAGTCTGAACGAGCTCGACGAGAATCCAACCAAGCAGTGTTACCATAGATGGAGGAATCCCATCTCTTTAAGCTATTGTTGCCATCGACGCACACGAGCCAGTTGAAATCAAGGGTTGGCTCATCTTGGAGTTTATAGAAGCAAGCGGGACAGGAATTTAGTAAGCGCCAATTGGGAGTGTCGTGTTTGAGCGCCGCCTTGAGGCGCTGGTCAACGTGATGGATGATTTCCAAATAAATATCGTAAGCGGCCGAGAATTGTGTATTGAGGTAGGGCCGGTAAGGAATCTATCAATTACATATCAATAGACAGGCTGCCGAGAGTATCATCCCATACTCACATCATGAAGGAAACAAAGTGTTCTACACTGTGCCTGGATACTGAAGCGAGGACAGGCTCGATGACATTGCTGGAAGGCGGCAAGAGTACGGAGCGAAATTGCAATGGTTGGGTACATCGGGGCGCATCCGATGTAGCCATGATAGATAAGTGTCTCGTTAGGGAACCTGTGCGATGCTATCGGCTGGAGAGAGGAACGGCACCACCCTGTGGGAGAATGAAATAATGCTTTGAAATAGTGCGAAGATACTTACTGAAAATGTCAATGAGCTCGATGTTGTTGAGTGAAGGGCAGTCCGTCGTATCTATGTCCAAAGGTGGGACTGTGGGCAAGTCTTGTGGGTTTGGTATGCCATTGCCAGAATTTCGAGCGCGGTAGTCAAGATAGGCGTCCACAAGGTGTTTGATCTGGAGATTCCAATGAGAAGTCTGGTCTTCTGTGCGGTCTCGGCGAGTGCGAGGATCTATGTAGCGACTGTGCTGAAGTATAAACAAGATATGTCAGGATGAAGTGAATAGGACTTACTATCCACCAATGTCGGCCACCTGATGTGCCAGCCCTTCGAACACTTCATGTTCCCCACCTGCATGACTCATATCAAAACCTTCCTCTCCAGGAGGAGCAGTGTATGGTAGCGCCTCGACATCGATGCCATGGTGGGTAATCATGGTCTCCACCGCATTTCGGTCCTCTGCGGACATTTCTGTTGCAAAAATTATAGTGAATGAGGCGGAAAGTAAATGAGAAAACATACCTTGTATTTCAGCCTGGCGGCTGGTATCCATTGCCATTATTCGATGCTGTTGTTTGCCAGCCGCGAGGACTTCTGATCGACGATGGCGTCCTCGAAAATGGTGAGAAATGACCGACTTCGACAACCCGGTGACCTTGTAAGTGGTAGAGCCACGAGGCATGGCAGGCGTTGAGGATATGCAGCAGCACCGGATAGCGGACAATGTGGAAGAGGGCAAGGGGCGTGAGAATGCATTGGCTTGGTGGATAACCCTTCTAGGCGCAGGCGGGAAGGGCGCGGGAAGTTACTGATAGAGTCCGAATACCCGCCCCACCCTAGGCTATAGTACATAGGTTGAATAAGTGAAGGCCCCAGGTAATTTGGGGCAGCATTTAATGCTGGTGCTGGGTTTTAGCACAAACATGCCTAATCAGAGTTGCCGAGGCACGTAATCGTCAAGTATAATAAGGCTCCCTAATTGGGCAACCCAGGTGCATTTTGCCTATCATTACATCAATCCTTCATGAATATTTCTAAGCTTTTAAGCTATTATAATGGATGTATATGGGTGTTATTCCAGGTCTCTGATCACATCACAGGCTTGTCATGTTGGATATCTCGACATAATGTGCAAGTCTCGCTATTAATATTCATTCTTTATCTTTAGACTCACTTACTGCACACATGTATTTCATTTGTCATTATTGATGTTTTGGATTTCTTTAGCTTATATCTTGGTCACATGGTAACCAATGGACGAGAAAAGACTACAAATAAACTCACCTAGACTCGGACTACAACCTTGATTAAGCTGACTACTGATTCCCAGATACCGAGTATCAAAACCAAATACTGAGTACCAATTACCATGTACCAAGTACTGCGTAATGAGTAACAAGATAACCAATTGACAAGAAAAGACTACCACTACACTCACCTGGACTTGGACTACAACCTTTGGTAAGGAAGTTAAGCATAATAACAACTTTCATTTTTTCATTATTGCTAATGTTTTGCTAAATGACAAGGAAAGACTACCAAATCACTCACCTTGACATGGACTACAACTGTCATTTTTCATTATCATTTGCCTATATTGACTACCGAGTCTTGAGTACCAACCACTGACCACCAATCACCGAGTGCCGATGTAGAAACAACAATACAATGAGGAACAAAAGAAGCTCCTGACTGTATCTGTAAAAGTTGTAAGGTCGCGCGCTGCCTAGTCTGCGTTACTTGAGAAGCAAGTGCGTTCGACCCTATAGGGGAAGTGAGTGCAGCAAGGATCTAGAAGTGTGCGCTTCAGCGAAGCGCGAGAAAGCGCAGGAGCGCGCAAGGTACAAAGGCGCGGGAACGCGCGCGCGTATTAGCGCGAAGTGCGGGAAAGTGCGCGCGCGTATGCGGAAATGAGAAACTAAGCTTAAGTAGTGATATAAAGCAAGATAAGAGATATAAGAGTGCAAAATGTAAAGGAATAGCTTTCTACTATATTCTGCTAAGTAGTAAGTGGGTAGTAACTAGTAAGTGAAAAGTAGGAAAAAGTAGGTAAGTAATAGTATGTACTGCTGGCGCTTATATAGCGCGCCTAAGCGCGGTCATGCGGAGCCGAAGCGCTACCGAGTAGGTATGTAAGGATATATATGAGTGAGAAACTATGATAAAAATAAAGGTGGAACTATGCTAATAAAGGAAATGGAAATATACGTACTAGGAAGCTTGGTGGACAGTGGATGGATGCATCTGAATGGCTGGCGCTATAGGGCGCGCAAGCGCAGGAACGCGCGCGCGCGTATACATCGCGAAGCGCGGGAATGGTGCGCGCATGGCGCGCGTTGCATGGGAAAGCTGCGTGTCATATAGAGATAGCTGTGGGTAGCGCACAGAATGACGCTGCGAGTTTGTGCTGTATACTTCCTAGTGAAACCTGCCATATCACACCATGAGACACACGAGTCTCTACACCGAGTACCGAGTACCGATAGGGAATAGTGTGGGTGAACCCTGGGGTATGAGTAGCACTACCCCCACCCATACCCCATGATATACCCACACCCACCTTGTGGGTGTGGGTTTTTTGGTGGGTATCAGGGAGAAACTACCGAGTCTTGAGTACCAACCACTGACCACCAATCACCGAGTGCCGAGGACCGAGTACCAAGTACCGAGTCCCAAGTCCCGAGTCCCAAGTCCCGAGTCCCAAGTCCCAAGTCTCAAGTCTCGAGTCCCAAGTCCCGAGTACCGAGTCCCAAGTACCAACCACTGACCACCGATCACTGAGTGCCAAGTACCAAGTCCCAAGTCCCAAGTCCCAAGTACCGAGTACTGACAAATACAATTCCCAGGTTATTTGAGCCCTACACCAATGGATAATACATACAAATACAATTTGTGTCCATTTGAAGTACCGGGTTTCAGGTTTTGACACTCGACACTTGGTGATTTGTGAAATGAGTGAAAAATGGACATGTTGTGTACATGATGTTGGGTTTCGGGCTTTGGGTCTCGGCCCTCGGCCCTCGGAACTCGATGATTTGAGTAATGTAAATGAAAAATCAACATGTTGCATGCCGGGTTTCGAGTTTCGGGTTTCAGCACTCAAAACTCAGTGATTTGTACAGTGAGTGAAAAATGGACATGTTGTGCACATATTTTCGGGTCTCGGGGATCGGGTTTCGGCCCTCGGAACTCGGAACTTAATGACTTGTGTAATGTAATTGAACAATGGACATGTTGCACACCCGGTTTTGAGTTTCAGGTTTCAGCACTTGAAACTCGGTGATTTGTGCAACAAGTGAAAGATGGAAATGTTGCATACATATTTTCGGGTCTTGGGCTTCGGGTCTCGGCCCTTGGCACTTGGAACTCGATGATTTGTGTAATGTAAATGAAAAATCAACATGTTGCATGCCAGGTTTCAAGTTTCAGGTTTCAGCACTCAAAACTCGGTGATTTGTTCAACAAGTAAAAAATGGACATGTTGTGCACATATTTTCGGGGTTCGGGGTTCGGGGTTCGGTGTAGAAACTACAATACAATGAGGAACAAAAGAAGCTCCTGACTGTATCTGTAAAGGTTGTAAGGTCGCGCGCTGCCTAGTCTGCGTTACTTGAGAAGCAAGTGCGTTCGACCCTATAGGGGAAGTGAGTGCAGCAAGGATCTAGAAGTGTGCGCTTAAGCGAAGCGCGAGAAAGCGCAGGAGCGCGCAAGGTACAAAGGCGCGTGAACGCGCGCGCGTATTAGCGCGAAGCGCGGGAAAGTGCGCGCGCGTATGCGGAAATGAGAAACTAAGCTTAAGTAGTGATATAAAGCAAGATAAGAGATATAAGAGTGCAAAATGTAAAGGAATAGCTTTCTACTATATTCTGCTAAGTAGTAAGTGGGTAGTAACTAGTAAGTGAAAAGTAGGAAAAGTAGGTCAGTAATAGTATGTACTGCTGGCGCTTATATAGCGCGCCTAAGCGCGGTCAAGCGGAGCCGAAGCGCTACCGAGTAGGTATGTAAATATATATATGAGTGAGAATGCATGATAAAAATAAAGGTGGAACTATGCTAATAAAGGTAATGGAAATATACGCACTAGGGAGCTTGGTGGACAGTGGATGGATGCTTCTGGATGGCTGGCGCCATAGGGCGCGCAAGCGCGGGAACGCGCGCGCGCGTATACATCGCGAAGCGCGGGAATGGTGCGCGCATGGCGCGCGTTGCGCGGGAAAGCTGCGCGTCATATAGAGATAGCTGTGGGTAGTGCACAGAGTGACGCTACAAGTTCGTGCTATGTACTTCCTAGTGTAAAGCACCATATCACGCCATGAGAGGCATAATTCTCTACATCTCCCAGGGACTTAAATTCTGAGTGTCCCCACTCAGCGCGCGCATGGTGAGGATTTTGCGTGATAGTATGTGTGCGCGATGCCTGTATGATGCTTGGGTCGTTGGGCGATGAATGCGCAAGTGCAGGAATTATTGCGTGGATGTGCGTGAAGCGTGGGAAGTTGCGCGCATGGTATGCGCAAGGCGCAAGAATGTGCGCGCGCTATGCGTGAAGGCGCGGGAATGAAGCGTAGCATGGCGAATTGCAAGGGTGACTCTGGTGTGAATAGTGTTCCCTGGGTGTGAGGCGATGATGTGAGAGTGATATGGATGTGGCGCGCATATGGCATAAAGCGCGAGAAAGTGCGCGCGCGCAAGGCGCGAGAAAGCGCGCGAGTGTCGCATGTGTTGTATTGTGCGTATGATGCGAAGTGGTGCGGTCCAAGAGCGATCCAATCCAAGTCCAAACCAAGTCCTGCTAGGCGCGCTAAATATTAGGTGGTAAGGTTTGAACAGTGTGAGTAAAACTATATGTGAAAATGCGAAGGAAAAAATGGTAAACTTTGCGGATGTCCTATCCGACTTGTCTTCTTCGTGCGGCTGTCGACATCTACACCTTCCTATGAGCGAGGCGCAGGAAGCGCGCATGTGTGCGCGCGCGAGGCGTATGGGCACGTGAATATTGCGCGCGTATGTGCGCGTGAGCGTGGGAAGACTGCGCGCATATGTGCGCGTTCTAAGGTAAAAAGGAGCATGGTGCCG